CCGTCCTCCATCCCAGGCTCCTGCGGTCACTTGCCCTTAGGCCCCCGCACCTGGCCATGTGTACCCTTGAACAGGTCACTGGAGCTCCAAGGCAAGAACGACAAAAGAGCCCCTGGTTCAGGTTTTATTTTTGGAACTTGTATGAAGTCACTAGAAGATGAGAGACATTTCTTCTATTTAAATATTTCTAGGCAACTAGAACCCCTGATTACAGACAAAGGGAGCACGCTTCACATCTGCCGAGAAAGAGCTAGAGCCACATCAGCATCATGTTTGTGCAAACTCCATCCTCCCTGCCAAGGAGAGAAGTCAGGAAGGCAGGCGATAGAGGCACCGATGCCCACCTGCCCCCGCCCGCCACGCCCCGGGGCCGTCCGCTGTGCCCAGGGAGGGGTCCCCACACCCTGCTGTCCAACAGCCAGCCACTCTCAAATCCGAGAACTCCCAGTGCCCCTTCCTCCTGGTCCCCCTTCCTCCAAGTAATAAATGGAAGCCTCATTTTAGCCAAACAGGACCCTTTCAACTTTAAATTGCCTGTTGTGTTCAGAAGCATGCCTGGGAAATTCAACCACAAATTGGTAAATTTATAACAGGCATAAAAACTCTCCATCTCCTAGGGTGAGAGCTGACAACATACTGCCTTTTTTTGCATACTGAGCAGATGGGACTGTTTGTCCTTCTGTGTTAGACGCGCTGTGTGTGTGTGTGTCTTTTGCCCAAAAGCAAATTAGGGACCCCCCTCCCAGCATGATCTGGAGGGGCTGAGCGGGGAGGCGGCAATGGGCTCCGTTCGGAGGGTCACTCGGTCCGTTCCAAGCCTGGTCCGGAGAAGCTGGTGTGCAGCCTCAAAGGCAATTCTAACAAGCATCCTTTGTGTGCATGCCTACACGAAGCCGAAGCAAAGCATTCCCAGGACGCTTCTAGGGACCCGAGCTGCGTTGAACATGTCTTGGAAGTTGGATTTTCTTTCTCCTTAGGGGATGATCTGACATGGCCCCCTTCCTTCCAAACACCAGCTTCCTTGCGCAGCTCCTGGCAGGAGCCGGCAATGTCCCCGATGGGGCTCACGCTGGCGCGGCTCCACCGAGCTCCCCTGCCCTCGTCTGCTGGAAGGGCCAGGAGCTGCCATCAAGTGGTTCTGCTTGACCAACCTCCAGGATTGGCTAGAGGGAGGGGCTGGCTTCTGGGGGGGTGACAACTGAGACGTGGAGGGCGAGGGTCCCAGAGGGACCAGCCCCCGACCTGTAGCCAGAGCACAGCCTTCCCTGCATGTCCAGAGGGAATAAGCCCCGCCCTGCACAGAAAGCTTTCCACTCGGTGTGCCGTGAGTCCTGGGAAGGCAGCCCCCTGTCCCCGGGTGCTGACCACACTCGGTTAGTGCTGCACAGATAGACAAATGGACAGGGGATGCAGGGAAGCCCTAGGGAGAGGGGCTCTGGCTGGTGGAAACTAACTCTTTGTCAGCGTTGGTCCACAGAAACCCAAGGATGAGGGGCCCCAGGGCGGGGGCACAGGTGTCCACAGTAGTTCTGGCGCACATTCAGCCAAAAAGCTGCAGCCCAATCAAGTTTCTGCACAGCAGCTCCCAAGGAGGGGTGACGTTGGACGCATGCTCCCCCCTCAGGGGGCTTCCTCCCTCCCCACGGCACGCGCGGCTTTCTCTGAAAAGCATGCACCCAGCCCAGGGGCAGAGGCAGGCGATGGGCTTGCCAACAAAGATACTCCGAGCCCCTGTGCCCGGGTGCCCAACATACAGGTTCTTGTTCACACGTGCACACACGCACACAGACGTGACGGGCGTGTGGCTCACCAGGAGGCCAGGAGAGACATGGGTGAGACAGCTGAAGTGCACTGCCTGGAGCGGGAGCTCTGGGGTCGGTCAGCAGCCCACATGTGCCGTGAGCCCTTGGGGGGCCCCAGCTGAATGAGGCTCGGCCCACCCCTCCAGCCGGCTCACACTCACACCTCGCTTACATTTGCACATGTGTTGCTCTATTTTTAAAATTTTCCTTGGAATGCTGTACATTCGGGAACGTGTGCGATTTCCATGCCATGGATGAGAAAATCCACAGCTAAAACTCTGCGAATATGCATATTACATTTCCTCAAATTACTCACCCTCCAGATAAGCACTCACTCCCCCCCCGCCCCCAGTCTTGCAGGAAACATCATCATGATGTCCTGATACCAGTATTGCTTTCAAGTTACTATTTTTTTTTAATTTAGGAAGATGTCTCTTGTTGGCAAGAACTGCCCTCCAGCGGATGGGGCCCAGAGGAGAGAGAGGGACCTCCAAGCGTGGAGGGCAGCCCATGGCGCTGGTAACTCCAGGGACTGAATTCTGCAGCCAGAAAAGTAGGTGTTTCACACCCACAGGCTTTACTCCTGAGACGAGTGAGTGCCCCCAACTCCTCCCACAGCTGCAGCGCTGGGACGGTGCCGGGACATGCCCAGCGGGCTCCGTGCATGCAGCTCAGCCCTCAGTGCACATGGGATGGGCCAGCTCCCCAAGACACGCAGCATCTGGAGCATGGGGTCAGGGTGACAGGCCCCAAGGCTCTCTGGGCAGCCGGGAGCAGCTCACACTGCAGGGCTTCGCTGGTCAGTGTGGGGGCCCGCACCCGCCAAGGGCACAGCCCATCACCCACAGACACAGCCGGACCCAGGATCAGTCCTCCCCGCACCTTGCCAACACTTTCTTTAAAGGATCTCAGCTGTCCAGGACGTGTTTGCGTCAGGGGAAGTCAGAGAGGGAAAGGGCCAAACGAGTGGAAGGTTCTGGCCTCTGCGCTGTCCAGGCTCTCGGGACACGGGAGAGGGGTTCCAAGTGGGCCTCCAGGGAGCCCCCGACAAGGGCCTGCCGCCCACTTTGTAGACCAAGGCCTTCCAAGTGACATTTCCTCCATGGTTTTAAGCAAATGTCTTGTCCAATATTTGTGCTAAGTTGACTTTTATGACTTTTCAAGCTCCGAGGCTGGCTCAAAAAGAAATATTTGAAAAAAAAAGGCCAGCTTAGTGGAAAGGTCAGGGTTTGAAAACCAAACAGTGAGTTTAAGCAGCCAAGCCAGAGTACATTTCATCAGTGTCATCCTGAGCAGCTTCAGCTACTGGCCGGCAAAGGGACAGGTTCCAGTGGCCACCGGCTGGGGCCTTCCCCTGGGGAGGCTCCTGAGAGTGGCGACCAGATGCCACCATCCATGGTTAAGACCCGTGTCACCTGTGAGCCGAGGTGGCCTTGAGCCCCCGGGGCTCCAATGTGGTCTAGCACCATCACTTCCTTTTGTGACCGGCACACCCAGGTCCCCATCCCAAGAGCCGTTTACTTAGTTGGTAGACTTGCCTTCTGGAGAGCAAGCTGGTCAGATCCGCTGGGGGTTTAATGCCACTTTTGTTGGCCTGGGCCCTGAACCCTCACACCCTCTGAAGCTACAGCACAATCCTGCAACGCCCACCCCACAGGTGTTCACTGAGCACTTCCTATGTGCCCGCACTGACAGCATCAGTAATAGCCCTGGCCCCAGGGGCCATCTGTTCAATCACCATGCCCATTTTACAGATGACAAACTGAGGCACAGAGACACTAAAGCAGTTGCCCGAATACAAAGCAGCAAGGCCAGGATGAAGCCGTGCTGGCTGCCCCCGAGCCTCCTCTACTGGTTTCCAGCAAAGGGATGTTTGTGTTATCTTCGAAGGCTGAATTTTTAAGCACATATTTTTACATGCTAGGATCCCCTGATGAGAACATCAGGTTTCTGAGGAACAGTCAAGCCCAAAGCCAGCTGAAAAGAGAGGAATAAATACAGACCCATTCCCGGGGCCAGGGTCCGGGGTCCGGGCACCCTTCTTAGGCCTCACACCTTTCTCCAACACCCCAAATCCCGCACCCCAGCCTCCTCTAGGTTCCTGTTCTCGGCACAGTCGGTAGAGCCAGCCAGGTCCACACAGGGACGAGGCAGGGCCCTGAGGCTCTGACCCCCACAGCCACCCTTCCCCAACCTGCTGGGCATGGGCTCTGAGGGGACTTCTGATGATCAAATCCAGGTGGTGATAAAGGGGTGGTGTGCCCACTGGCAGCCATGGTGGGACAAAGCCACCGCAGGGTGCCAGGTGCAGGCCCCCAGCCTGCCTGGGGAGGGGCGCTGCTTTGCTCCCCGCCCTCGCCCACCACTCCCACCTGGCTGTGCTGGAGCCCGCCGGGCACCCAGCTCTGCTGGCACCATGCGGGCTGTCCAGCCAGCTGTGCAGCACCCCAGCCATCCCAACGGGGCTGCGGGCCCTGTCCCCCCTTACCTCCCTCACCCCCCTGAGAGCGCTGCAAACGACCTGGAGGCAGTTGCCTTCCTGGGGTGGGTGGGGGGCGAGAGAAGTTGGGAAGACCCTGAACGAAGGGCGTGCTCCTGAGAGAGGGTGTGGGGAAAGAACCAATATCCCCTACTCACCCGCGGCATCGCGCGGGGGAGACCCGCCAGCCCTACAGTTGGGCTGGGCGGGGACAGAGGAAGGGCCGCCTCCGCCGCCGCCGCCGCCCCCCTCCCCCCCCCACGGCTGGGCGCGCCGCGCTGCCGCCAGCTGAGTGAAAGCGCGGAGCCCGGGAGGGCGCGGGCGCGGCGGGCGGTGTGCGGAGCGGGTGTGCACCGAGCGGGTGTGCGCGGAGAGCGCGAGGGAGGACAGCGCAGGCGAGGGAGTGAGCGTGCCGGGGCGGCCGTGCGTGCGCTCCGCTCGCGCCACAGGCTCGCCCCGAGCCGCGGACCCGCGGGGTCTGGAGCCGGCAGCCCGCATAGTCGCGGAGATTGGAGATCGGAGGAAGCCGGGGCCAGCCGGCAGCGGGAGGGAACCGGCGGCCCCCGGTGAGCGCGCCTAGAGCTCTCCGGGGCGGCGCGGGCCGGGTCGGGAGCTCCCCCGCTGGACGGCGCGCCCGCTCTCAGTCTTGCGCGCTCCCCGCCGGCTCCCTCCGCTAGGTCCCGGCCAGAGCCAGAGCCAGAGCCAGAGCCGCGCCCACCATGCGCCTCAACGGCTCTGCGCCGGTTCCCCGGGGCGCGCCGGGCGCCAAACCCTTCCTGCTGCCGCCCTCGGGGCTGGAGGCGGCGCTCCTAGCCCCAGGCTTCGGTAACGGCACGGGCAACGAGTCGGAGCACCTGCGAGCGGCGCCCAGCAGCGACCTGGACGTGAACACGGACATCTACTCCAAGGTGCTGGTAACGGTGGTGTACCTGGCGCTCTTCGTGGTGGGCACGGTGGGCAACTCGGTGACGGCATTCACGCTGGGGCGCAAGAAGTCGCTGCAGAACCTGCAGAGCACCGTGCACTTCCACCTGGGCAGCCTGGCGCTGTCCGACCTGCTCATCCTGCTGCTGGCCATGCCCGTGGAGCTGTACAACTTCATCTGGGTGCACCACCCCTGGGCCTTCGGCGACGCCGTCTGTCGCGGGTACTATTTCCTGAGGGACGCCTGCACCTACGCCACCGCCTTCAACGTGGCCAGCCTCAGTGTGGAGCGCTACCTGGCCATCTGCCACCCCTTCAGGGCCAAGACCCTCATGTCTCGCAGCCGCACCAAGAAGTTCATCAGTGCCATCTGGCTCGCCTCGGGCCTGTTGGCTGTGCCCATGCCCTTCACCATGGGCCAGCAGAACCGCAGTGCTGACGGCCATCACCCCGGCGGCCTGGTGTGCACGCCCGTAGTGGGCACCGCCACGATCAAGGTCGTCATCCAGGTGAGCAGCTGCATCAGGGGAGAAGGGCAGGGAAGAAACGGGGCCTGGCCTGGGGGCAGGGTTGGTAGGCCCTCCCTCAGGGGCACCTCTGTCTTCTCTTTCCCTCACCTCGGAAATCGTTTCCAGCCTGTGCTCCCTCTGGGTCAGCGAGGGAGAGGATGTCACCAGGAAATATTACTCCTGTGCAGCTGGGAAGGGGATGGGGGCAGGGCCTGGGAGCTCAGCCTGACCCCCCTTCTCCCACCTTTCACTCCAGAGCTGCGAGATCTCACCCCCGCATCTCATCCCCTCCTATCAAAGGGAGCGGGGCCCTCAGATCAGTGACGTCTTGGAGGGTCCATAGATGGGCCTCAGCTGTCCCCAAACTCCCTGAGATTTAAGGTAAACATGTGTGCTGGAGGCAGCTCCTTTCATCGGCTTTCCAAAAGGCTTTGTGGCCCCAGGAGACTAGGTCTGTCTCCTCTGCAGCAGAGCCCCCAGGCCAGCCCTGACGTCCTCCCACGCCACCCCCCAGTGCCTCCTGGCTGCCCTGCCCCCGCTCACACTTGGGAGGTGGAGGCAAACTTGATACCACCTGGACTGGTTCCTTAGTTGAGCCTCAGTATCCCCATCTGTGACCAGGTAATCACAGCCCGACCTCAGGTGGTAGAGGATTCAGGAGAAAGAGCGTGGGAAGCCCTCGCATGGTTCCCAGCACATGGAAATGCTCAGAAGCACTATTTTGGTGGTGGTGATGACAAAGTTGTTTCTGCTGGGAGGATCTTAAGGTATTTGGGCGCGGTGGCAGGTGGGAGACCTGTGTGAGGTGGACGACACTGGAGCTGAGTGACCAACAGCCCTCCGAGGGTCTGAGCAAGGTGCTACAGGAGCCCAGGTGGGAGCCCTCCCTGGGAATCGGCTAGGATGAGGCGTCCTGGCAGGGTGGGGTACGCCGGCCTGGAGAGAAGGTTTCTCAGTCAGGGACCACCTGGGCAAGGGCCCTGCGTGGGAGGAAGTCTGGGCAGAGATGCCACTTTGGACAGCATCCTGGCCCTAGGACCGGGTAGCCATGGAGGTGCAGGGTGGGATGGGGCCGGGGGGTTCTGGGCGGGGCCTGCAGGTGCTCAGCAGAGCCAGAGGAGGGGGCCGGGGTGCCCCGCCTCGTACCCGGCTGGCTATCCTTTCACACCTCCCAGCAGGGCTCCTGCTGGAAGTAGGACGGTGTGCTGGGGCTGGGGAGCCGGCCACGCGGGCAGGACTGTGGTCTACGCATCACTCCCTGGGCTGTGGCAGACCCTCCACAAGCCACCACCCTGGCCCCTGACGCCGGTGCTGAGAACTTGTGGCTACAGGGTCCGCTGCGTGCTGAGGGCCCCCACCCCCAGCACAGGTCGCAGGGAGGTTAGTAGAGCCTGGCTGCCTGTCTGCAACACGGTCCCTGCGCTGGGGACAAAGCCACACGGGGCCGCGTGCGATGGACGGTGGGAAAGTGTTCTCCCGAGGCCTCAGAGGGCCCTCATTGTCTCCTTAGCTCCTGTCTTCGATCGGCTGTGCAGGGGCCTCCCCTGGTCTGCACCCGGGGCTGGGGCACAGCAGCCACACTGCCTGCCTTCAAAGGTATGAAGTGGCAGGTTCGGGGGTCAGCAGCTCAGGTGGCTAGCACGCCCTGCCCACCCAGGAGCCGCCTCCGCTCAGCCGCCTTTCCGGCGGCTCCCAGGGCTTGGCCAGGAGCAGGCGGGTTTGAATCATCAAAAACAAGCCGCAGCAGAGCAGAGTGCACACAGCCCCCCTGAAGCATCCTCTCTCCGCTCCTGCCTCCTCTCCGTCGGCCCCACGCAATCAGATGCCCAGTGACACCACTTCACCTCCCCAAGGGCCGTTCCTCGGAGTCCCTGTGCTCGGAGGCTGCGACACCCACACCGCCCAGGGTGTGGCTTCGGGGCCACTGGGTGTCCTGGCAGATGTCTGCTGAGTGGTCACTGCAGACAGGCCCCCTTCTGTGCCCACAGGCCTAGTGCTGCCTGAGCATTTACTAGTGCTTGCTGGCTTCCTGACGCCCTCCGAGACTGGACCTCATCTTCCCCCAGAGACCCCAGACTCCAGGTGCCCATCTTCTCCGGGCTGACCCTGTGGGTGGCTCCCAGGAGTGTGGCTGGGGCCTCACCACCATCCCCGCTCCCTTCTGCATGCCCTGCTCCATCTCAGGAGAGGTGCCCTGGGTTCGTGTCCCCCACTTGGGCTTCGGGGCCACTGGGCAGGTCAGGGTGAACATCCACTGTTTTTAAGCAGTGATGCTTACCGGGAGGGGCTGCATGCTTGCATCCATGTGTCTCCCTCTCACCGACGATGTTGGAAGTGTGGAGGTGTCAGCCAGTCAAATGGCCCCTCTTTTCAAAACAGGAAAGTCTGCATGTCTCCCAGGAGGCCGCCAACCCCCCTCATCCACAAGAGCCCATGCTGGGTACTTACATGCACAAGTCATTTAGAAATGAGGGGCTTTGGGATCAGATTTCTGAACAACTTTGAATAATCATTGCTCAGTACTGCTGGGCATTTTCTGAGTGTGTCGCCTGGAGCTGGGCTAAGTGGGGCTTGGTCAGAGGGCAGGGCAAGGCCCAGGCCAGCAGAGGCCCCAGACCCTGGGCCCTAAGTTGACGGGGTGGCTGGGAGGAGGAGCCCACAGGGCCTGCTGCGTTCCCTAATCCGGTCCCTCCTCTGACCCCAGAGGGGAACTGATTCGGTCTTTCCAACAGACTGTTGGTCACAGTGAAGACTTCTTGCCATTGAGGGGTCTTCCCACTAGAAAGTCCCCCCGAGAAACAGTACCGCCTCCACCGTTCACTCCATGCACCATCTCCCCAGGGTGCACAGCGGTCCCTACGGGTGGCCCTGCCTGTGTGGATCAGCACACGTGGTTTGTGTTTGATCCCACTGCAGTCCTGCCCGGTCCCCTGCTCTGACCTCAGGTACCATGTGGATCCTGCTGTCCCAGGCTCTCTGTGGCTGGCTTCAGGTGGGGCAGGGCCCGTGTCCACCCCTCCAGTGAATGTGCACTGTGACCAGTGACCAGTGGCAGCAGATACCTGGGGGGTTTGAGCATCTGGTTCAGATCTGACTTGGCCAGGCACTTGCCCAGCTTCATGCTCCCGGCGGCCCCCCCGCCCTGACCCAGGACTCAGTGGTAAATATGCTGCCTGCCCCAAGACAGTTGCTAACTTGGTCACCAGCTTTGCCCTGGTTCTAGCCACAGCTCCTAGACACATGCTGTCCCCAGGTGTGTTCTCATTTTCCCAGTTAAAGAAGGAGGGTAGGGGAGGTGCTGACCCCCTACAGTCCAGTGTTCTAGAGCCTGGGGGTTGTGTCCACGCATGTGCAAACATATGTAGATGCACATGCAGAAACACATACACAGACCTCCGCGCGTGAACGTGGAGACACACAGAGATGTAACACACGTACGTAGACGGCACAGGAAACACACGTGTGCACATCACATGCACACACAGCACCCCATCCGTGTTGCAGGCTGTCTCTGCCACTCAGTTAACAGAAGGGGGTCTGGGAGGCCCCATCTTCTCCATCAAAAGTACACAGGCATCTGTGCTGCTCAGGGCATGGGATATGGGGGGCGGACGCACGCACTGGGCAGGTGAGGGAAGCTCGGAGCCCAGACTTCTCTAATGGGTGCCCTGAGCACTGACCCCCAGGATCAGGGCCACCCCCAGCCCTCGGTGCTGGGACGTACGGCTGGGCAGAATCCCAGGGCCCCACGCTAGTCCTCACGTGGTGCCCAGTCCCTGGACAACGTCCGTGGGGATGGTCGGGCTTCTGTGCTGAGACCTGGATCTGCTGTTTTCGCAGTAAAGTTGGTCTTCGTGATGCTCAAACGGTGGTAAAGTATTTCCACCCCGGGGGCACATGAGCTCTGTGAGCAGGGGCAGAGGGAACCCAGGAGCCTCCCCAGGGCACACCAGCGGTGCCCCGAGGGCAGGGGCGGCGCAGCCTCGCACCACGACGGGCAGAGCCTGGGCGGCCGGCACCAGCAGCAGCCGAGGGCTCTCTGTGCCGACACGTCATTGTTGCTGATGTCAGGCCCCACGGGCCTCCGAGGACCTCACTCCTGGAGGTGCCCTGCTTCTGTTCACCTTCTCAGACGGAAGTGCCCCTGGCAGAGGTGTGTCCTCTCGCCCTCAGAGCCGAGCTGGGCCGTGGGGTCAGGGAGGAGCTGGTGCCCCACACCCACCGGCCCCAGGTCCGCGGCCTCTGCGACACGCAGCCCCTACCGTCGGGTGTGACTCCACGGAAGCCGAGGCAGCAGGACCCGTCTCCACTAAGTGGAAGAAGATTCGTTCCAGGAGAGTCAGACCACGAGTCATTTTCTCAGGATTTCTGTCCTGTGGCACCTTGATGGTCTGTTCCTTCCCCTGCCCGCGAACCGCGGGTAGCAGCCCGGCCTCAGGGACGCCGGCACTCATTGGTAACGTTTAGCGAGCCCCAGGGTCCCCACAAAAGTGACTTTGTAGAGGGGAGGGCAGCCGCCACACTGAACGGCTCCCCGCTGGTGCCATTGTGTGCCCCTGCTCTGCGCCCGGAGGACAGCACATAGAGCCCCCTTCCTGGCCCTCAGTCTCGTAGCTTGAGGGACGTTCTGGCCCACGGTGTGCCCAGCCCTGAGAGAGGAGCCCCGCTATGGAGCTGCTCTGTATCCCGGGGATTAGACACAGCGCTGAGCACCACACGTGGTTTCCAATTAGACGCTGGCCCAGAAAGGGAAATCGCTGTGAAGTTCGCGGTTGGGACAGTCGCCAAACCCGGGTACCATCCGCAGTCAGTCGGGGAGGCACCGTTCCTGTGAGGTGAGGGTTCTGATTTTGATGGTTGTGCTGAGCCTCTGTAAGAAGACGTCCTTGTCCAAAGACCAAGTCCGGCCCCAAGTGCCGTCTGCAGTGCCGAGTGGGCCCGGCCTGGTGCCCACGGGCCATCCTCACTCCGGGGGAAGTCTCCGCTGCAGGAGGACAGGG